TTGGGGGGGGGGGAGAGCTGGATGCGCCAGGAAGGAAGACGACGAAGTGGTGGCCATAGTCGCGGAGCTCGAACGTGAGGAAGACGAAGACAAAAGTGACGAAGAAGGAGAGAGAAGGAAAGCAGGAGGAAGGAGAGACGAAGGAGGAGAAAGAAAGGAGCCACATCGAAGGTGGGTGAGAAGAGGACAAAGGGGGAAAGAGAAAGGTTGACGAAGGAGAAGGGTCGACAGCCATAGCCGAGAAGTCAAAGGTTGACCAAGGTGTTGACCGGCGTTGACCAGCTTCGACCGACGTTGACCGAAAACCGGTGACTGAAGGTTGTTGACCTAGCTAGAGCACGGTATAATCTCTCCAAGAATTGGCCTACCCCTTACCTTATGGATGCGCACACCACCTTGGTACTTGTTGAGCATCAGTCTGTCTTTTCTTTCTGCGTTGAGTCACTTCTGTCTAGGTGATAGGACTCTGTATATATGGTCAATAGAGCTGTGGTGACCAAACCTGCACGAGACTTAGTAGGGCTAAAGGCCGCATCTGACGACTGACACGTCCCGGGGACAAGACCCCCAAGGACCGATACTGACCAGCGGGCTGCTCAGTGTGGCGCGGTAGGCCTGAACTCCGAGTTGTAGCCTGCGCATCCGGCTGTTCAAGTGTTGAGAGGACTATGCTGATCACGCAGTCATGCTGATCACGTCGTCCTGACTGCGCCGTTAAAGAATTCCTGAGGAGTTATGGGGGATCCCCTTGAATGCCTCCTGATCAGCAGTAGAGTCCTGTAGTGACAGCCTTAGAGTAGGCTAGGCTAGAGACCATAGTTGGCAGAGTTCTTATCCAAAGTGAAAGCCAGGTGGGATTGATCATACATGCAAGGAGCACTCAGATCGTGGAAAGTTTCAATGAAAGCGGTGGCGCAAGCTTCCCAGGGTTGTGGTAACCTAGCTTGAACAAAGAGAAAGACTTTGTGGTCCTTAGAGAGTCAGTCAGTCATTTGGTGGACAAGTCTAAGTGATGAGGAGTGGAATTGTCACTGGTTGTGCACCTATCACCATGGTTGACTCTTAGATGCTCGTGAGGTTCTCCTTGTGGGGGACCCTCTTGTCAGTTCTTCTTTCCACTGAGTTCTGGCGAACCATGACGTGTAGAGTCGCTAGCAATAGTAGTACCGCGACCTCCCCGTACACGAGAGAGTAGGAGGAGGAAG